AACTAGTAATTGATAACTAATGCCTTCCTAAACGATTATCTATCATTGTATTTGAGCAACACACCTGACAAAATATTTCCCTGATTTATCTTTTATTTATTTCCTCTGACTTCCTAAATGCAACACTTTCCCTTCCATATTTTATTATCAGAAAAATTAATGAGAAAATAACTGGGAGCAATCATAAAATTTCACACAATATATCCATTTGCACTGATGTGGATAACAATTTAAGAAAGAATGTTATTCCATCTAACATTCGATCATCAAGAGAAAAACGAAAGGGAAAGTAGTCATTAGACTCGATGAAATCCATAATGGACAAGAATCATTGAAGACAATTTCACTTACCACTAAACTTTGCTCCCAGTGCCTAAACATGGAAGAGGATGAAAGAGTAGATCGCTGTTCCAAAGGAGAATCCATAGTTGCTACAAAGACCCCAATTTCTTTAATGAATATTTTATGATGAACTATGTGCCCCAATCTTCACCCTCACCTAGGATAAAACCTAAAATTCATAAGAAGAAATTTAGAAAAACCCTAAATAAAGATGCGGAATAATCTCAGAGCGAATGAAGTTTCCACAATCACATTTTGTGGACAATCAGAAAATGTGTTAAAACCTGCCACAAGAATTTTCCGTTTTCAATATCTATATTGCTGTGAAGATTGACTTCAACTGTGGATTGTTTATATTCGTGAAGAAAAACATTCATCCCTACAGAATGTACTAAACGTTCGTTAATAGCAACATGGGCACAGTGTAAGTGAAAAATTATAAGAATACTACATACTGCTGTAATCACAACCAATGATAAGCAAGGTAGCGAACTGTGAAAAGGAGATGCAGAACTACAGAAGAAATTGTATATCAAATACTACACTTAAACGATTTTCTTAGCAGAATTTAGAGGATATTAGTAACATATTATAGCATCTTATATCTTCTAAAATTTAAAGTTATAGTAACATGTAATTGAAATGGTATCATTTAGCACCTATCTGGTTGTTTCTGAACATATTTCTCAAATAATATAATTAATTGTCTATTTCTGCATACATTTTCCTACTTCTATCCCAAACTTCTCTATTTGTATGCCTATCAATGACAAGTGAAAGTAAGAAGTATAAAATATATGTTGTTGATCATTGGAAGATAAAGAGTGTCAAACTTATCAATTTGACACTACTGACAGATGAACTATACGACCACAATGTAAACAAACATAATATAAACAGTCTTTGAATGCAGAGTGAAATAAGAAGATCAGGTTTCATTCACGCATTTATTCTGAAATGTAATGTCCATTAATGTATGAGCATAAAGTGTTGTTTGTTCAACTATGTAAATGTAAATATATTATTTCCAATAATATCAATTCTACCATGTTTAAGTATTCAAACAAATTGAATTACAAAACAATCGAATACAAAACTTACTATGTTAGTATTACAATAGTTCTATATTGTAAAAATATAGTTACTAATTACGGAATGCTTCAATTAAACTATCATATTAGAAAGCAAATAATATTTTTAATATTACCTTTTTATCACATTCATTATGTTCAATTAACGGAATATAAAATAAATAACAAAAAGATATATTTTGTTTTATAAATTATTTTCAATATTGATTTTATGGAACTGTAAATAAATTTGCATCAATTATAATAATTACCTAGTCATAAGATCTTCAATTGGTTTTGGACAGCCTTCAATCAAAGGAGGTCTCTGTCCCATATGCACTGCCCACATTATTCTGTATGCTGAGCCACCAATTTGATCAAATGGTTTCTTCCTTGACAATATCTCCCACAGAATGACACCCCAACTAAATACATCACACTTTTCTGTATATTTATAACCTTCAAATACTTCTGGAGCCATCCAAGCAGCAGAGCCTTTGTTGTTTGTCATGTATGTATTTAAGTCACAAGCTGTGCCAAAGTCACAAATTTTAAGAGTCTGTCCACCCATAACTAGTAACAAATTTGGTGGTTTTAAATCCCTAAAAGTAATATGAATAATTTTCGGTAATTGTTACTATTAAAAACTGAATTTTTAAATAACACAACATGGGTCTCTGAATAAGTAGTACAATTTTAAAGTGATTTTACACAAAGAAGCCATTTCCAAATGAATATTGAAAATGTTTTTTATAAACAAAAACACTAATTAATGAACAAATTACATGAACAAACCTCATCTAGTTAACAACAAATTTTATTCCTAATTTTTCATTTATTCGTTCTTGTACATTCATCTCTTTTTAGGTTGTACTACCATTTCAAGGAGGAACTTATATATATATATATATATATATTCTCTGAAGTTTTAATTAAATTTACCTGTGAATTAAAGGCTTTGGTTTCATATTGTGAAGATATGCAACACCACGGGCACACTGTAAAGCCCAACTCATTGCATGACCTGCAGTATATTGTGGCTGAGGGTTACAATGTAGAACTGTAAGATATACATGAAGTTACAAGTAGTAACAAGAGCTCAGTTCTATTAAATATCATAAAATATCAAACAAAGAAAAACACCATTGTATAAGGATCCGCCTTCCGCATATTCCATTACTAAGCAGACTGGATTTTTAGTACAGGCACCATATAGTTTAACAATATTAGGGTGCACAACCCTTGACAATTGTCTAACTTCCACTGTAAAGGCCTTTCTTTCACCTTCTGAATTGATGTACTTTACTGCAACGTATTGCCCTTTCCATTTTCCTTTCCATACTACTCCAAAAGAACCTTTTCCAACTATCTGCATAAGAAAGATTAATTCGAGGATAATGTATGAATGCCATATATATTTTAATTTCACTTAATCTTAATAAGAGTGATTTAATCTAAAAATTTGTTCCAACCTTCTTAAAATCAAGAAGCTCTTTTTCAAATAAAATATTAATAACATGAGATCATAATAAAAATCATTTACAAATAATGAGGAAGAATAGAATGTGAAATAATTATTTAAGCTTATACAACAATAAAGATTTTTATTTTTTCTAACTAATAGAATACAAATTACAATCTTTTTTAATCAATCATATTCTTTAACAAATAATACCTCCCGTATATTATTATCAAAATACCAATGCAGAAGGTCAATCAATCTTCATCGGTAGCAACAATTTAATTGAAAAGTCTATAAAAAATGTCTAGGTTATGTTTTAAACGTGAAAATTTTCATTAATACAGATAAGTTCTAAAAATTTCAAATATACGAATTGATCAATATTTTATAAACATTATGACGAATAATAAAAAAGATAAAACATCAGTTTCCTCAATCAATCGAAGGTATTACTATAAATTACAATACCTGCTCTGTTTCGATTTCATCGTAGTTAATTTCTTCAACAAACTGCTGTTGATAGCCTACTAACTCTTTACCCGCCATCACACATAGACGACATCACATTAGTTTCAGGGCACATTTAATTACCAAGCGTATTTCTAACGTTCAAATGTTTATTTAAACTTCGAGCTCAAGCTCTCTCAATATTTTCCGTTTTATTAACATTTAGGTGGCATGTGTAGTGAAGAAGATGTACATATGTACTTTACATATGTACTTATGTACATATCGATAAATGTTTCTGATTCGATACATCGATATGTTGAAATACGATCCATCGTTACATGCATACGGACATCGTAATCAAATTTACACAAAATATATCAATTCTGTCGTTCAACATAATTATGCTATGTATCTAATCCAAATACATAATGTAGACACATCATAAGTATGTAAACATAAAGTGTGTGTATATATATATACGATTTCTCAATCAGTGCATATATGTTTACAAATTTGTTTTTGCATTTTAAACATAACATATTTCACGTTTTACATTTTAAAAAATGACAGATAAAAAGGATTTACATAAAATCAATTTAAAAGATAAAGATTGTTTCCGATTTAATTTTTATTAATCATTTCTTATCATGGATACTTTATTGATATGATGGATACTTTGTACATATGTACATTGGATATTCATATACAGGGTGTCCCAAAGATGTCTCGTAACTTTTTCCTTAGCGAAAATGCAATCCGCGGCTTTGTTTACGAGTTACTAATGAAAATTAGTGACCAATAAGAGGCGAGATCAGCTGGCGCGAGATGGCCAAGCCAATGAGGGGAACTGGGCTTCGTGCGCTCAGGAATCCTCCATTTCCGGATTACGAGCCAATTTTGGAACACCCTATATGTATATTTAGATGTATATACATATGTATATGTTTGTACAAATTAAATTATAAAATATCAGTACAATATATATCTATGCTTTTTCTAATGCATATGTATTTATTTATGTTCTTTCTACAATAACCATTTAATATATTACTTTATTTACAAATCAGTTTTATGCAACAAATAAATCACGTTTTATTACACGTACTTCACATTTACAGTATATACAACATATATCCAATAGAGGTGGTATATGTATATGCTTTAAGAGCCTTCACATAAAACGATGAAATAACTATAAAACATATATACATACATATCTATTTATATGTATATTTGTTTTGTTTTCTATGTATAATAAATTTGTTATGTATATGTCGAGGCATGCTACATAGATCAAATATTAATCTTTTAATGGTTAATTTTCATACAAAATATATTGTTCATACAAAAAATATTTTATTGAAAATAACATCATAAGAATTCAACAAAGTATGTACACACGTAATACAATTTCCTGAAAATTTACTAGCGATTTAGTAAAGAATGAAAAAGTTTCATCAAAATTTGTGTTGGCAATGAAATAATCTATTTACGTTTTACAACTTATTTAGCGAGTTACATTCTAGACGTCTAATGATACGTACCTAAAGATTTTCGGTATTATAGAAACTTTTTAATTTCATTACTGACTAAGTAATTATATAATGAAAACGCATGAACATACGAGTAATATAATGCTTCCATAGTGAAATTGTGATGCAAGTGATGATTCAAATGTTCCAGTTAATCATTTTAAACTCGTTAATTTGTTATAAAATAATGTATAGATTCGAAATATTCTCCGGTGTGCAACGTGTTGTGCAACATGGCACCAATCACAGCTCGTAATTTTATGATCTAAACTGAAAATTTTTAAGGTGGCTAATTGTCATCACCTGTAAACAATTGTCAGCCTGATTTCCTTCTAATTTGAGCGAAAACGTTGGAACGAAAAATTAACTTTTCGAAGTACCGTCATGTTTTATAATTATCAACTGTGAATCAATTTATCTCAAAATGGCAGAAAATCTTTCGAAACGACCAACGAAAGGAATTTTAAAATCATCCAGCAGTTTCGATAATCCAGATATATCTAGGTAAGAACTTTTATTGTACATCAATTTTTGTTTTTAATTTATAGTGCTGCGTAGAAAATATAATATGAGTTTTATTGTTATAAAGGAATATGCAACAAAAGCTATTCTTGTGTGTTTTGATAATTAACAATTAGTTATTTAAAGTTGAGTCTGGATTTGTTTTTTAAGGTTAGGTAAATTGTATGTTATGTCAACGTTAAGGAGCTTAACTTCATATATATTTGTTTAATCAATATTAAATTATAATTATAATTTACCGTCTATT